AATATCCTATATTTTCTATAAAATCAAATTGTAGTCTTAAACGTTCCAAGATTGAAAAGTAAATATAATTACCATACTTAGTTTGATGATACCTAGTTTTATTTATAAGTAAACCTAGTTGAAGATGTGTTTACGCTGTACATATCTATACACATGCACTTATGCCCCTTTTGGCTTTCAAAGTTTTTCATTGTACTAGGGCTACAATTTGGACCTTGCTTGATCTAATTCTTTCGGGTTGTCACAGCATACCCAGCTTGTATGTCACGCATACCGGTCAAGGGTAAGTATGCAGAGCGTAGACTGAGTACGCAGGGCGTACTCAGTCATTTGAATTTTGTTGACTTTCTTTGACTTGCGCGTATTGGGCTATATTTTGGACTTCTAGGGTTTTGACCTTGTTGGGCCAATAGTCTTTTGATTTTTGGGCATTATAAGGCTTTGGGCCTTCTTGGATTGGGCCTATAATGAGCTTTGGGTGCCATTTAGGACCTTGGGCCATGTTGGCTCTTAGAGCTATTGGAATGGGCTTTGGTTATTGGGTCAAGTAAGGAAATGATAAAATGGTCTTTTACCCTGGAATTGGATAATTGAATGAGATTCATGATTTTCGGTTATGACTCAACTTATTATATGGGTGTATCTAAGGGTGAAATTTTGTTTAATTTTCTTGTAAAGACGATTTTGTTTACACTTTTTTGTAAAGACGATTTTGCCCTTGTTATTTAATTTTTCATTTTTGTTTTATTACCAACAATTAGAAAACATCTAAAAATAAAACAAAAATAAAATACTCTCTCTCTCTCTCTCTTTCTCTCTCTCCTTGTCTCCCCCTTCTCTCTCTCTCTTTCTCTCTCTCTCTCTCTCTCTTTCTCTCTCTCCTTGTCTCCCCCTTCTCTCTCTCTCTTTCTCTCTCTCTCTCTCTCTCTGGGTTGGTTCTTCAAAACTCAAGAACACATATTTATGAAAAAACACACACACTTTAACTTTTATGGATTTGTTCTTCAAAATACACACACTCAAGAACACATATAAACGTTCTCTTATAAACATATACACACTCAAGAATATTCCTTGAAATCGTTTTGGAAATGAGAATCACACACAAAATATGGGTCTGTTCTTGAGTTTGTCCGTAGATATTTGGGTTTGTTCTTGAGTTCTAGAAACGAAAATCAAAATCATTCAATTCGTCCTTCGAGAACTGTATGTGCGTTGAAGAACAAAATATATTTGAATCAAGATTATATCCAAAAACACTCTCAGATCAATGCAATCAACTCTCCTTCTCAAATGGACCAGGGGCGGATCTCAAGTCTGGTTTACACACAAATGGAGCAGTGAATCTACCAACACCCCCACTACCATCACTGCTTCTTCATCTCCGGTCATTTCTCAGCTTCAGGCTCAAGTCATGGCTACTTGAGCAACTGGGATTGATGCCGACAACAATGACCTTGACTTTTGATTTGCTCCTCCCTTATAAACATGAGACCTGCCACTAATGCTTACATCATCGCACATAAACAACTTTACCCTTCAAAATAAGAACCGATGTCTGCACCTTTCTTTCCCTTTCACACAGTTTCAAGAACAAAAGTGCTTCTCCAACCACCGCCGCCTAGCAATCAATAGCCGAAAACCCTAGCAGTCAACTGCCTCCATCATTCCGATGAACGCTAGGGTTTTAAACAGTGAGGTCGTCGGAGAATGAGATACGAATTGATTGTTTTCTTGTTCGTCGATGTGTGGTTTGCAGAGGTGAAGTGGGGTAATCTCCGATCTTTGGTTGATGTTCGCTTAGGTGTTTGTTTCTTTAAGAGCTTTATGGTTGAGGTAGCAGTGGCGGTTGATGTTAGGAGGGTGGAGACATTGGATCGATAACCACAAGAAAGATCAAATATGAATACATACATCAATTCGCACACATAAACCTAGAAAAGACACACCCTTCTAGTCTTCTTGATCTTTCCTCACTTGAATGGGTCTTCACTTCTCTTTCTGATTCTTAAATGGAGTTGAGTTTACTCGATTTTTACAGGAGAGAGAGAGAGAGAGAGAGAGAGATAGAGAGAGAGAGAGAGAGAGAGTATTTTATTTTTGTTTTATTTTAAATGTTTTTTAATTATTGGTAATAAAACAAAAATGAAAAATTAAATAACATGGGCAAAATCATCTTTACAAAAAAGTGTAAACAAAATTGGACCAAACTTGCAAGAAAATGAAACTTTTGAACCATTTATGCTAGCCCAAACCGCTTTGGTCCAAACATGCTAGTTTTGGCATACCACAAGGACCATTCTTGCAATTTTGTCTTACAAAAATGGTGCATATGGTATAGTGGTGTTACGGAAATTACAAGTTTGGTCCCTCTGACTCACACGTTAGAATCACAAAATTTTAAGATTGGTCCTTGTGTTTTTCTTAAAAAATTCACATTCTGGACAACTATAAAAACATCACACTATTGGTCCTATGATTTTAAAATCCTTGCATGGTTGGTCCTCTTAGCTAACACTACTGGTCCTTACAGTTTTAAAATGTTGCATGGTTGGTCTTTTTAGCTAACTTTGTTAGAAAACATGGGTTACATAGTTATGAAATGACCAACTTAACCATTTTCATTTTTATTTTTTCATTTTATTATATTTTTTAAAACTTTACAAATTCACCATTTAACCCCAATTTTGTCCATTTCCTATCGGGTCATTTTGATACTTTTGTTTTTCCAACTATTTATAGATACACACATCTTAAACACGAATACGATGGAGCATTTGATGTTTCTCATCCTGGTCAATAAATACATCTAAAAAACAAGAGTAAATTGCACAAATGGTCCCTATAGTTTGGGAAATTTGAATATTTGGTTCCTAACTTATTTTTTTAACTCAAAAGGTCCCTATTGTTTATTTTGTTGTCGCTTGGTTCCTCTCTTACCTAAAAAAAAACTATTTTACCGTTGATTTTATAATTTATTTAAATAAACACAACCCCAACCCACACCATCTCACCTTATCTTACTTAAAACAACTATTTTAATTTATTTAAATAAGGGCATAATAGTCCGTTTAGGTAAGATAGGGACCAAGTGCATAACAAAAACAAACAGTATTGACATTCCGAGTTAAAATAAATAAATTAGGGACAAAACGCACAAATTACCCCAAACCATAAGGACCATTCATGTAATTTACTCAAAATGCAACTTTTGATGCACTTAAACACCTCAAAGCAAAATAAGTACGAAAAGATGAGAAAAATGTCATACAAAAACTAAAAGCTAAGATTGCCATAAGCCATTTTTTATCCCCCAAAATTGTACAATGGAAATTACAAAGATATCAGAATTATAAAAAGTAAAACTGTTTAAAGAATTGAAACAATATTTGCATGAATTTCAATCGGTTACATAGAACGACAATCAACTTGATCCATATTACTCTAAACAAAAACTTTTGTAAAGTTAATGGTTAATTTTCAAACTTCAATGACCTAAACCCAATTAGAAACTATCAAATTAGGATAAAGTGAGTTATCATTTTTTGCAATTAATCCAATCAGAAGTTTAACAAATTTTGAAGCCGAATTGCTTTTTTAATGTATTAGATTTATCAACATACTATCATTTATTTGTGTATTATATCATCTTAATTTCATTTATTTCTATTACAACATTGTACTTTTAAAAAAAAAAATTCCTTATTAAGGCATTCTACATTATCTATCCTATTACAGAGTTAACTTTCAATTTTTTATTAGGGCAAATTACACGAATGGTCCCTATGGTTTAGGGTAATTTGCATGTTTGGTCCCTAACTTATTTTTCTAACTCGGAAGGGCCCTACTGTTTGTTTTTGTTACACGTTTGGTCCCTGTCTTACATAAAAAGTCTATTTTTCTCTTGATTTTTTAATTTATTTAAATAAACACACCCCCAACCCCATCCCCTCACCTTACCTTACCCACCCTACAATTTTTTCCCTATTTAAATAGCTGTCTTTTTACATAAGATAGGGACCAAACACGTAACAAAAACAAAAAATAGGGATCAATCGTGTAACAATAACAAACAATAGGGACCTTCCGAGTTAAAAAAATAAGTTAGGGACCAAACTTGCAAATTACCCCAAACCTAGGGACCATTCGTGTAATTTACTCTTTTTATTATTGAGATATTGTACTTCAAAAAATACAGAGTAAATTACACGAATGGTCCCTATGGTTTAGGGTAATTTGCGTGTTTGGTCTCTAACTTATTTTGTTAACTCAGGAGGTCCTTACTGTTTGTTTTTATTACGAGCTTGATCTCTGTCTTACCTAAAAAGACTATTTTGTCCTTGATTTTTTCGTTTATTTAAATAAACACACCCTCAACCCCACCCCCTCATCTTACTTTACCTACTCCACCATTTTTCCCTATTTAAATAATAGTCTTCTTATGTACGATAGGGACTAAGCGTGTAACAAAAACAAACAACAGGGACTAAACGTGTAACAAAAACAAACAACAGGGACTAAACGTGTAACAAAAACAAACAACAGAGACTTTTCGAGGTAAAAAAATAAGTTAGACCAAGCGTGCAAATTATCCCAAACCATAGGGACCATTCATGTAATTTACTCAAAAATATATCCATTTAAAGCACTGAGAATTACTTTGTATAAAACTCGCTAGATTTTATAAAGTACGAATGTACGATGATGTGATCATAAAAGACAAAAGTAGAATATCATAACAAACAAATAAACAAAAGTATTTAACTCTTTCTACCATTTAACTTTTCCTATATTTTTTTTTCTTATTAATGCATTGTAATTTGAAAATCTATCCACTAATAACATTATAATTTCGATTTTTTTATTAAAGACATTGTACTTTAAAAAATCTATCTAATTACAGCTGTATTGCAATAATTTTTTAGATTTTATAATGTACAATGTTGTAACATAGGGAAATGAAAGAAAAATAAAATAATAAACAAATAAAAAAAAGTATGTTGCTAATTCTAGTATTTAACCCTTTCCTATTTCACATGTCAAAAAGCTAAACACCACCAAATCACATGAAGACAATATTTTACAACTATAAAGAAGTCATGAAATGAGAAATGAAAACAATGCAACTAAAAGACCCTTAAAATGTTGAAGAATTTGAGGGATATTATATGAGATACAAATGAGAGAAAGTAAAAGATACATACATATTAATCAATTGCCATAGGAGTTTCTGAACTTCCACCAGTAACAGACACAGTAGCATCCTCAACAATGTTCTTGTTTTCATAAATTGCCATTCTCATTTCCTCCATCATACTCTTTTGTTCTTCCTCAATTGTATTCTGCAACTCATCCACCTGCATATATGTTATTACAAACACATGAGCATCAAGAACACAAAGGGAATTAGAAAACTGTAAAATGATAAAACAAGTACATACCACATGTAACAGAAGAGCAAATTGTTTCTTCCGAAGCTCTAATGTCCTTGAACTTGCAGTATTCTCAGCTTCCAAAGATGCAATCTCTTTCTCCAGATCATTAATCAGCTTCTGAGTTTGAGATCTTGGAGGTTGTGCAGCAATCAGCTTCCTAATTGTCTCACACTCCTCCTTATGCTTCCGCTCAACCTTACTCTCCTCAAGTTGCTTCTTCAAATCCTCAATGTCATCATGTGCCTCCACTATCTTCCGATTAATCTTATCATTCAACTCATTGAAATTCTCCTTCTCTCTAACATTTGCATCAATAACCGCTTTTGTTTTCACCAATGGGAGCTCGAAAGTTTTGAGTTCCTGTAAGAATGCCTTCGCAAGCCTCTCACACTCGGCATAATTCTCTGAGTCTTTCTCGGTTTCCAGAGCAAAAGATGTGAATTTTTTCTGAAGCTTTTTCAATGGAGGTTCACCTCTTGTGGTTGTTGTTCTGGTGAGAAGCCTGTGTTTGATGATTATATCATCGTCTAGGGCTCCAAATGCGTAATGTGCAGCTCCTCCTGTTGCTTCTCCTCTACCACTAACTTTCCTGGATTTCAACATTTAGTTAAGCAAACCGCGTGTTCGATTTCGGCCTGAAATCAAGAGTTTTTATCAGATTAATGAGAGAAAAGGCGTCAACAAGAATCGAGATGCTCACACATGACCTAATTTCTACACGAAAGGCGTCGCGATGTTGTAGCCTATCTGCGAGAGAGGAGGGAGAACAAAAGTACGCACCTCTGTTTTGCGATATTGCAGATTCAAGAGAATAGGGGAATACGTCGACGGCGGTTACGAGCTCTACTGCGGCCGTAGGAAGCGAGTGTCAAGCGGTGCCGTTGGCCATGGAAAGGGATTTCAATTATCGCTGAGGGATTCGGTCAAATGCTTTCTTTTTTACTGTCTTTTTTATTAATTTTAGGGGAAATTATACGAATCGCCCCCTCTGGTTTGGGGTAATTAGCAAGTTTGGTCTTTAACTATTTTTTATCACTTGGACAATTGTTATAATTTGTTTTTATTATGCGTTTTGTCCCTAGTTGATGTAGAAAAATAGTTATACTCTTTCTCATTTTATTTTTACTTTTCTTTTTGTTATTCGTTTATTTTTATAATAAAGAAAATGCACATGAGGCTCACTCCCACCCTTTACTCTTCTTCTCTTCCCATCGTCTTTTTTCCTAAACATCGATCTGCTCATCCCTTCTTCATCACTTGGTCCTCCGCCTACCGACAGATCCTTCTACATCTATTCCATGAGGACCACCAACAACTTATACACAAAATCAACAGAGATGTTGCTGCCTCCACCTCCGATTCACCTATATCCAAAGAAGGAATCACCCCTTCCGGAAGCATCATTAGAATCAATGAGAATTTGATACATCATCTTTCAATTTTGATTTTCATAGCCTCGATCTCCAATGGTTTTCAAAAACACCTCCTCTCATCCCCTATCTTTTGTATCAATTTTGATTTTTCAGTTGCGATTTCCCTTACGTCGATTTAGAACTTTGTAGCCATTGTGGAAGTGGGAGCAGATTGCGATGGATTTCATTATGAAGTTGCCGAAAACTGCAAAGGGTTTTAAAGCTATATGGGTGATAGTTGATCACTTAACTAAGAGTGCTCACTTTCTAGCCATATGTGAGAACTCGTCTTTCAAGAAATTGGCTAAGATTTATGTTTGAGAGGTAGTGGCTCGTCATGGGATGCCGACTTCCATTGTGTCATACCAGGATGTTCACTTCACTTCTAGATTTTGGAAGAGGTTTCATGAGGAGTTGGGTACCTGATTGCATTTCAGTACCGCTTACCATCTGCAGAAAGATAAGCAGACCGAGCGGACTATTTATATGCTTAGGGATATGTTAAGGTCCCGCATCATTGATTTTTGTGGTAGCTTAGACACCTATCTTCCATTAACTGAGTTTTCTTACAACAACAACCATCATGCCAGTATTGGCATGCCTCTTCGAGCTCCTATATGGGAGGAAGTGTTAGACTCCTATCTGTTAAGGAAAGGTCAGATAGATAGTCATAGGGAGCACTGAGATAGTGCTCAAGATGACAAAGCTTATCCAACAAGTCAGACAGAGGTTGCTGATGGCCTAGAGCCGCCAAAAGAGTTACGCGGATCGGCGACGCCTTAAGTTGGTGAAGGTATCACCTTAGAAAGGTGTTATCTAATTCAAGAAGCTGGGAAGTTGGGCCCTAGATTTATTGGTCCTTTAAAAGTGTTAGCCCGAGTGGGCAAGGTGGCATACTGGTTAAAGTTGCTTGAGGAGTTGATTCAGATTCATGACACCCTCAATGTCTTCTAATTGAGGAAGTGTGTGGCCAATGAGACAATTGTGATTCATTTAGAGGAATTTTAGGTCGATGGTCACCTGAATTACATCGAGAGATCAGTGACGATTCTAGATAGGAAGGTAAAGTCCTTGAGGAACAAGCTAGTGAACTTAGTCAAAGTCCAATGGCAACATCGAAAATGTTCTGAGTGGACTTAGGAGCCCGAGGTTGAGATGCGTTAGAATTACCCTGATCATTTTGCATCAACAGACTTTGAGGGCAATGCCTGATTCTAATAGGGGAGAATTGTAACACCCGTTTCCAGTCATTTCCATTTTCAACCTTTAAATGTAAAAGTTTTGCAAACTAAACCCTTACGTTGAGCGTACACGAAGTGTACATTGGGTGTAAGTCTTTTAAAGGATCAAGACAGAAGTGAATTATACTAAGCATACATGTGAGTACATCAGGTATGCTCATGTTTCCCTGAAACCCTAAATTTTTAGGGTTGTGTCCCCTATTTAAGCATCTTATTCCCCCTTAGACCTCCTTATGACTAGCCTACATTCCTATTAGCCCTTATATCGAAACCCTAGCCCTTGAGAGTGAGTAATAAATCCTTTGAGTGATTTTTAAGTGCTCTTAGTGGTGAAGGAATATCATTGAAGAAGTGGTGGTGCAATCAACTCTTGGATCCAGAATCTACACCTCATTGTTCATCTCCAGAAGGTATAAAGTTCATGCCTTGAGGCTTGCTTTACTAGATCTTGATTAAGCTTAAGTTTATGTTATTTTTATCCCAAAACCATGGTATTTGTGAGTATGGACTACCCCATACCATTTGATCTTCCCTTTTTAGACATTTTAGTGTGCATGGTGTCCTTTCATCCATGCATGAGCTATGGAGTTTTTCGTGATGTTATAAGTTAGGGTTTTGTGATTAAGCTCTCTTTAGTCATGCAAAGGCAAAAAGTCAGAGACTTTATGGATTATGATGTCTTTTAGGGTTAGATCTGAGGTTGGGGTAAAAAGTCTTAATGATTAAGAGCTTACAAGATGGGATTTGTGTATAGGTCGAGTACACAGAGCGTAAATATGGCTACACCTAGTGTAGTCAGCTGGGAGCCCATCTTTCTGATGTTGTGCTCTACGCCCAACGTAGAAATGAGTACGTTACGCGTATGTTCACATTGTTGACCTTTCACTTTCTTTAACTTTTTGACAAAGTGTGCCTTTTGGTCAATTTGTGAGGGTTTTGGTCTTGGAAGGGGAAAATGGTCCTTTTCCAAAGTGAAGATTAGACATGGCTTGGGACTAGTTGAGTATGGAAAATTACCTTAATTGTTAATTGGGGTTATTTGGTGTAATTAATAGGCGGAGTCTATTTCCGGCCATTCGAGTTAAGGTCCTTTAAATAGGACACAAACCCTGAAAATTAGGGTTTTCTCGCTCATCACCTACTCGTCAAGTTGGGGTCCTCCAACTCGTCGAGTAGACTCTAAAAATCATGCGGCTATTAACTCCTCTACTCGGCAAGTGGGGCATCCAACTCGTCGATTTTCTCTGACATTACGTATGTAAAATAATTAAATATTGTACCTGGGAGTCAGGATGTTACATAGACAACTTATACTAGAGGAGGCTCATAAGTCTCATTTTTCTATTCACCCAAGGACCACCAACATGTACCAGGATCTGAGACTGGGTTACTGGTGTCCGTGCATGAAAATAGAGATCTCATGGTATGTCGAGAGGTGATTGACCTGCAGGATGGTCAAGAACGAGCATCATATACCGCATAGCAAGCTGCAACCTCTGGAGGTTCCTATATGGAAATGGGAGCAGATCACGATGGATTTTATCACCAAATTACTGAGAACGACAAAGGGTTTTGATGATATATGGGTTATCATGGATTGATTGACCAAGAGCACCCATTTTTTGGTGATTCGGGAAAGTTCGTTGACTGAGCGAGAAGTTGGCCGATGTGTATATCCACGAGATTGTTGCTCACCATGGGGTGTCGGTGTCTATTGATTTCAGACCGTGATGTTCAGTTCACCTCCCATTTCTAGCAGAAGTTCCACGAGGAACTAGGCACGAGGCTCCACTTCAGCACAACTTATCATCCGCAGACCAACAGCCAGAGCGAGCGGACCATACAAACCCTCGAGGATATGTTGTGAGCATGAGTTATTTACTTTGGTGGGAGCTGGGACTCCTACCTACCCCTTGCAAAGTTCTCCTACAACAACAACTTCCATTCCAACATTAAGGCACCACCTTTTGAACTATTGTACGGACGGAGATGTCGTACCCCAGTCTGTTGGGGTGAGGTTGGTCACCGGGTCATGGGTCTGACCAAGGTAGTTCTGTAGACTAACGGGATGATTCAGGAGATTAAGCAGAGGTTGCAAATGATGGGTTTTATACAAACAATCCTATGTGTGCATGCAACCCTAATTTGGATCTATGTTTTCACTATTAGATACACAACATTATGATCACATGAAGAACCCTAAAAGGCTTCTAAGAATTTCGAAATCCTCAAGGAAAGATGAAATACATACCTCTTGTTGTTATATTGTAATAACAACTTAAATATTGAACCTTCTTGTCTTTGAAAGTAAGCACCACAAGTGTAGTGCCTCTAATGGCTCACAAACACCAAGAGCAAATGGAGAGGAAATAGAGAGAGGGAAGAGATGTGAAATTCATCCCTAGGAACCCTAGACAAGGCATGGACGAATTCTTATGGCCTTAAGGGTCTTTATATAGGTGTAGAGATTAGGGTTTCAGTCCTTATCCTTATCTAGTTGCTTGCCCACCAAGTAACCATAAGATAAGCCTTGAAAACCCTTATCCTTATCCTTTGGACGATTTCAAGGATATCTTACCCCTTGAATTCATCCAACCTATATATAGGATAACTATTACCATATTTTGTAACTATCACATAATTACAATTTAGCCCCTCTAGTTTAATTAATTACACTTGATCACAAAATTAATTCCTAATTAATTATTAACCAATATTAATTAAACAATTATGATTTATCCTTTAATATATTATTCTTATAACATATTAATAAATCATAATAACCTCTTTCTCTATTATTTCTCCAGTCAAGTTGCTTTGGTGAAGGCAACCCAAAAGGACCATGCACAATCGGATCAAGCATTTACCAAATATGGTTACTGGCTTAGACACTAATCCAACAGTCTCCCACTTGGATAAGTCTAGTAACTACAAATGTAATTACACCTCAATTTGTAATGGTAGCTCTCAAAGATTCTGTCAAACTCTGATCTTATCAGTAACCTGTCCTTCAGATAAGGGATCATATATTCCTCCATTCTAGATATCGTATAGACACGAGACATGGATTGAAATTATTCTCTAAGTCTATGTGTTGTTTCTCGATTTTCGATTTACGATGACCGACTAATTGAACAAATCAAATTATCCCTAGCCTGGCCGAGCATTTACGTTTGTCATCACTAAATCATCGAGGGGCCACAGATATCGCTTTTATCCCACTTTGGGTAAAAGGAACGGATAAACTTTGACTCAATGTTTGCTTGCACTCACTCACCAAATCACACATAACAATAAGTTTTATAACACCGAGTTACTGGTGCGTTTACATATTATCAATGTGCAACCGATTTGCAAGATACAATTCACACATCTCGGTTTTCAAGAATACAAGATATTATCGTCTCACCAATCACTCGTGATAAAATCCATGAAGCGATCCAAGTGAACGTGGGTTTAACCAATGCTCAAAATCATATTCATAAGCACACATGGTTGTAGCAAACCTTTGCTATGTCTAATACGCTCTAGACAATCTACAAATCAATTCATGACAATCTTGATTCATACTTACTTCCAACGTATGACTG